ATGTGCCAATCAAGTAACAAGGGAGTTAGGGAGCGACATCACACCGCATCTCATCCCATTTGCTGCATATTCCTAGAGAACAAGATCACCAGGGAAATTCAAGAAACCCTTTCTTGCCGAGGTCACAGGCGAAAAGAGACCCTCATAACCTCCTGAGAGCAAAGGCTCAGGTTACCTTGGAAGGCAGCTTGTCCTGCCCGGGAGTGGTGACGGTTTGTGCAGAGGACAAGGGAAGCGATGCTGGTGGGGAGAGCTCTGGTCCCCTCCCAGTGCAGACACCTGCAGTGGGTGTTTTGTGATCTGCCACCCTCCTCCTGCACACAGCTCGCCTTGTCACTAATGGCAGATCTGTGTAAAATTCGCTGCCAGGTTGTAGCAGCATTATTTTTTAAACAGGTAGCTGCTTTTTCTGCCCATTATACTGCTGGAAAGGAACCCAGATGCCACTGTGTTCCCACTTTCCAGCCCAAGCCATTCCTGCAGTAGCAGGAACAGCCACCCCATGAAATCACCCCAGGGGAACAGCCCTTTCCACGCCTTCAAGCACTTTTCAGAGAAAGTTGCTGTCTCCTTTTTTCTTTCCATTTCACCTCCGTCACTAACACTTTTGTGTACGCACAGCAGCTGCAGTAGGCCTCGTTCTCAGTGTTTTGGGACCTTCTTGATTTTTGATATTGCAAAGGCTGTTAGAGAGGAGCACCTCCTGCTGAAGTTACCTGCAGCTTATGGTACCTGGTGACAAAGACTAATGTGCCTCCTGCTTGCCCTGCCACAAAGTCTAAGATGAAGTCTGCAAAGTCTACAACTTAACCATTGCCTTTAATCCTGCAGATAATGGCATAACAAGATCCAGTGTCTGAGGGCTGAACCAAAACTATACACTTAGTTTGCCTTTTCAGTGAAAGTAGTTAACAAGCAGGAATGAGGGGAGCAGAGCAGTCTCTCCCGCACTGGGAGGCGACATCAAGACCAGATGCATCTCTGGGAGACATGACTGAGGTAAACCATAAATTAACAGGCTCACTGTGAGGGAAAAAATAATAATAATAATACTGGGTCCAATTGCATGGTCTGATATGAAGGAGGCCAGAGGAAATGGGCCAATGAGTCCTTTCTGCACCCATGAACTTTCAGAACCCTTCTTATCCGGAGGGGAAAAATGGCAAGGGCTCCCTTTGCCATGTTACCATGGCTGATTCTTAATCACTAGCAGGGCTGGCAGTAGCTCTTGTGCAACACCACTTTCCCCAGTGCTGGGCCCTGTTCCCCTGCAATGCTCCCAACCCCTGCTGGTCTCAGAAGAATTGAGCCCAAAGCTCCACATAGCAATTCAAATGCATCACCAGACATTAGGCCACCGGGTTAACCACTGTTTAATTTCGTCACATTTGTTTGTGAGTTATGTACGTGCCTTTCTTTTGTCAACATCTCCTTTTAGAAAGGATATTGATTTTGTTTTCAAAGGCTCTTGAAAATAAAATGAATGACTACATTCTAAGGAAGAGTCATTTTCTCAACAGCTGTAAATAATTTATTGTTCGCAACCCACCCAGATCAAAAGATACTTCATCAACTGATGTGGCAAAATCTGGTGCAAGCTGCATTTCTATTATCTCAGATCCAATTAACCATTTGGAGCAGACTAAAACATAACTAGATCAATCCAGAATCAGATTAATATCCAATCCATAATCACATTAATCACAATCTGTCCATAATTAGCCATCAGATAATCCCATTGGACAGGAGGTGACATGCAGTATCCCATTATCTCATTAATTATCTATTTTCAGTATCAGACATTGTGCCCAAACACAAGGAAATGTTTTTTCAAGGAAAAATGGATAGGGAATTCTCCTTGTGCTGCATCCACCCCATCGAAGCCCCCAGTGGTTCAATGTTGGAGTTTTACAACATTTCTTTGTTTTTCCATATTCTATTAGAACTAAGAGCTGGTTTTTTTTGAGAGATGTCGTCTTTTTAAATAAAATATGATTATCTTAGGAAGACGGATAAATAAAACATTTGTTTCATGTGAACAAGTTTATGAAAGAAAGAAAACCCTTCATCAAAGGTTTTAATGGTAACATGATAACAATAGCTTTGCAATGCTAAATCTTATTGCAGATGGTTCCTGTCCTTTTTTGTAATGTAAGTGAAATTGCGTTCCATCTGTTTTAATTTTATAATGGACTTAATCCATGGCTGGCTCTGAAAGAATCAGCGTTTACTGCCTTTGCAATCTGCTGCAAACAAAAAAATTGTTACCGTTTCCCCTTTCTGGAGGAACTCGCATTTCTCTTTGGGAGCATGAAGCAGAGCTGCTGTGTAGAGAGCGGGAAGTGCCGCTAGCGGCCTCACCCCTGGCCAGGCAGCCCCTGCCAGCTCTCGCCCCAAAGCCAAACGGAATTGCCCCAAAAGCCATTGGAAACGCTGAACACTGGGTGGAGGAGAGCACGGAGCAATCGGCGTGGCAGGAGAGATTGTGTTTGGCTTTGACTAGCAAATGCTTCCAGCAGTTCCAAGTGACCTGAAAGCAATTTTCCAGAGGTCCCTCCTGGCCTGATTTATTCTATGGTTTTATGATGTGCTTTCCCTTACCCCCCCTCAGATGAACCAACAATTAACTTGTTCGTAAAACACAGTGGTACCGAGCTGCTTCAATGCCTCTTGTACCTGTAGTCATTTTAAAGATTTTTGTACATCACATAGAGGAGCTTCAGGGTTTCCCTGGCAGGTATTTTTTTGGGATTTTCTACTAAAGTGCCTGTGCTGCACTGCCTACCCTGTTCCTGCCTGCCTGGCCCTGAAGTGAGTCCAGTCCAAACGTACCTGCCTGCTGTTCAGGGCACGTTGCTCTGTACTGACACAGGTGTGCCCGCAGCACAGCTTTGCACCAGTTTGGAGACGTTTGGCTGGCTCAGCCATAACCTTTCTTTTTCCTAAGTTGGTGGGAGGTTTGGGAGAGCAGAGAAGATCCTGCCCTCGAGTGGGAAAAGGGTGATGCAACACGGAGCATCCCTGCCAAGCTGCTGTATTCTTAGACGTGTCTCATTCTCCTATCATTCTGACATTTTATTTTTGCATTTTATTGTTAACACATGCACATACTGACTCACTCAGGACTCTGTGGATTCCAGCTCAGGCTGAAGTCACCCTTCTGTACCCTCTCTTCTGCCAGGTGCCCAGGCATGGACGGGACAAATTGTGCTGCCCCACAGCCATGGTAGTGCTGTGCAGGTTCCCATCACCCATCCCACGGGGTCACCCCAGTTTGAAGAGCCAGTCAAACTTTTCTAATTTTCTTCACACCACTCACCTCCCAGCCCAGCTCAGCCACTGGCAAGGCAGGCAGCAGTCACATCACAACCCCTGACAGGAACCATGGCCACCCTGCCACTACCACACAGGCAGGGACACGTGGACCTGCCCTGCCCTGAGGATGTCGTGGCCACACTGCACCTCTGGACCTCTGCACATGCAGGGATGCCAAAATCCCGTGATGACACGTGTCCCTGCTGAAGTGGGTACCCCAAATACCACCCTCCTTCCTCCCTCAGCTGTTGCACTAACTTAAAGGTTTGCTTTCAACATTTGGGGTCCTCAGTGGCTGTGGTCAGGCTGGGGAGAACAGGTCAAATAGTCCAACACCAGTTATCAAAATCGTCCTCTCCCCCTCCTCAGCTTCTGGGGTTTCACACCTACGGGTGCCTGACTCGTACAAGTGCTTCGGTCGGAAAACCCACCCTACCTCCCTCCTCCCAGAAAAATGAGCCCAGCCTGCCCTTCCCGAGCCAACATTTAAAATCACCATGTCCTTCCCGAGCCATACAGGTTGGTCTAGGCCTGTCAAATACCGTGTGTAAAATTAAAAAGGTGATTGTGTGGAGTAGAAGGACAAGGCTGAAGCCCCAAGACAGCAGCAACCTCAATTCCAGCACGCATAAGCTTTCCTGGACCTTTTGAGCTACTCGTGCTGCTGTGCTGCAAAGTCTTCGGCAATTTAAAACCGAGTCAAAGGCCACTGAAGTGCTCTCCCTATTTTCCTGCTAATGCACAGGAAGCCCATGGAGACTGGGGGGAAAGAGAGAGGAAAAAAGAACAGAAGGAATAAGAAAGCAACAGGAGAGGTTAAGCTGCAGGAACAGCACGGGATCAGGTGCATGAAAATGCAATAAAATACTAATTTTTTTTCTGCTAATTTCAACTCATCACGGGGCTCCTGCCCGGAACGGCGGCCCCGACGACGCCATCGGTCCCGTTCGGGTCCGTCGAGGCGGTCCTCCCGCACACGGCCCCCGGCGGGGAGCCGCTCCGCGGGCGCGCAGCCTTGAGCCCCTTCCCGTCTGCCGTGGGATGTCCCGCCGCGCCCGCCCGCGGGCACCTGCCTGCGGCACGCCGATACGGGGGGAAAAGGGACAACGAAATAAAAGGCAAAAGAGAGGGGAAGGAAGGGAAAAAGGGAAATAAAAGCAGCAAATAAAAAGCGAACTAAAAGTCAAGAAGAATAACAGGGAAAACAGAAGGGGGAAAAAAAAATCTACAAT